CACATAAGGCAGACTGGAAAACTAAAGCACTTATTTTCTTAAACTAACCCACCAAGAAAGAGGGCTGGAGATCCAATGATTTCTGAAACCTCGGCCTAAGGTAACCCGTAATGGTTTGAAAGTAATGTCACTCTATTTTCTTTTTGCCTCTCTCGCAAGTAAAGTGAGAGTTCACAGAGACTGTGCGGTTTCCTCGAGTGCGTTTTAGAAGCTGCCTTAACGAAAAGGTTACTACACTACCGGAATTAAAACATCGTGGAAATTATTAATTTAAAGCCGCGGAGTATTTTCCCAACAACGTAATATTACCTCTAACTTTCTGGGATAACGCTGCAAAATTTTTTAGGTTATTTTTCAACCGAATAGGTTGCGAATTTAATGCGATGATCATTTTCACTTTCATACCTTCATCCGCATTTCATATATTTCAATTCATGCTTACAAGATCTCCCTAATTTTATGTCTGAACGCAAGGCTTTTTAATGGAATCTTCATTCAAGGCCAAAACTAACACTAAGCGCTAAACAGAAACTGCCTTATGAAAAAACTTTTAAAATTGACGCGCTGTTTTAAAGGCCTCACTGGATCTGGATGGGGTTAAATACAAACGTAAGCAAAACATTACTTTTGCAATATTTAAATAATGTCTAAAAAATAATGCTTCCCTCTGAGATACCTGGCGAATAAAATTCTCACAGGGCCACAGCCTAAACAGGCTAAGCTGCTCTGTTGAATCAGGAAGGCCAAACTTTTTTTCGTAATGCTGGACAGAGATTAAAACAACATCTAAAAGCGCGTTGTTAGTTCCCTCTGAGACACCCGGAGAATAAATTCAAAAGGCTAAGCTGCTCTGTTGAATCAGGAAGACCAAACTGTTTTACTTAATGCTAGACGGGGATTCAAAAAATATCTGAAAAGCGAGTTTTTAGTTCCCTCTGAGACACCCGGAGAATAAAATTCTCACAGAGCCACAGCCTAAAAAGGCTAAGCTGCTCTGTTGCATCAGGAAGGCCAAACTTTTTTTCTTAAATGCTGGATAGAGATTCAAACAATATCTAAAAGCGAGTTTTTAGTTTCCTCTGAGACACCCGGAGAATAAAATTCTCACAGAGCCACAGCCTAAAAAGGCTAAGCTGCTCTGTTGCATCAGGAAGGCCAAACTTTTTTTCTTAAATGCTGGACAGAGATTCAAACAATATCTAAAATCGAGTTTTTAGTTCCCTCTGAGACACCCGGAGAATAAAATTCTCACAGAGCCACAGCCTAAAAAGGCTAAGCTGCTCTGTTGAATCAGGAAGGCCAAACTGTTTTACTTAATGCTAGACGGGGATTCAAAAAATATCTGAAAAGCGCGTTTTTAGTTCCCTCTGAGACACCCGGAGAATAAAATTCTCACAGAGCCACAGCCTAAAAAGGCTAAGCTGCTCTGTTGAATCAGGAAGGCCAAACCGTTTTACTTAATGCTAGACGGAGATTCAAACAATATCTGAAAGCGCGTTTTTAGTTCTTTCTGCATGAAACACCCGGAGAATAAAATTCTCACAGAGCCACAGCCTAAAAAAGCTAAGCTGCTCTGTTGAATCAGGAAGGCCAAACTGTTTTACTTAATGCGGGACATGCACTATCATCTTCACGGATCTAATTAGTGCAAAATTAAATAAAGCTGTAATCTGTAAATCAATTTTTGGTTTATGAAATTTTACTCACTTTTACCGACAGTTGATAGCCACTGGCTTTGGCAAAATAAATTTTCCCCTTTTCTTTAAAGGGATTCGATAAAATTGAAAATATCCACTACGATCCACACTTAAAAACTGAACTCTGACTGAATTGAACTGTTTGCGATCAGGCTTAAGAAATAGCGATCTCCATCAACATTCTCCATGAACATTACACTTTCACATCATTAGCAGTTATTGAGAATTTATGAAATGATCGATTGATCAGTGTCGACCTTAAAACGTTTTTGCGCTAAAATGATAATAGGTAGCCATTTGAAGGTGATACAAAGGAACCTAAAATAGACTTACCAAGTTTCGGCCGATGTTTAGAAAATTGAAAAGGGCTGAAGAGCATCACCGTTCGGGCTAAATCCAGTCAGCGACCCTTAATAAAAATCATTTAAGTTTACATAATCAACAACGACGTGAATGCCCGAGTTTCTGACTTGACGGTCATGGGCATCTGCCACCGTCAGGGAATCATACGATATCGCTTCTCGAATGAATCCCTCATTTTAAATTCCCCAATTCAGTAATCCACGACCAAGTACCTTTTCCAGATCTTCTCCTCACGACGAAACGCTTTCTCTGACTTCTCTGGCCGCTTCCTGCTATATTTTCTAGTAGCTGGAAGGAATTTCGTCCTTCTTTGATCGCTTTAAACCCGCTTTCGTCGGCATTTCATCGGCGCAAGTTAAAGGCTCGTGCTAACGTTAAAACGACAACAACATGATCTTTCCTCTTTGAAAAACCAAACCTGGATGGGTTGACTCGAGCGC